GCCCTCATGCATGCTCTCTGTCGTATTGATCTCAATGGTAAATATCATCGAAATATTTTATTTCTTTTTTTTTGTATCAAGCGTTACAGCTTTTTTGTCAAAGCTTGGCCCATTTGAGTAAATTTTGCTTCTATCCTTCGACAATACCACATACGGACTAGCCTATGTTGGCAGTTTGAACACTGGTTTGTGTGTATTGTGGAAAATTGTTTGGAAAAATTGCTATGACGTGAGCGCGTATCAATGAGTCATCGCCGAAATTTGTTTTTGGTTTTTATAGCAATATTCTGTCAATCCACAGTAAGATACACACCACTCACTCGACGTTCAAAAATAAGGTGTATTATAGCGGTACTATTTGGGTTTAGTTTGCTTTTAACCGATAAAAGGAAAAAGTCCAAAAGTGCTCCGATTCACAATAGAAGGCCGTAAAAAGTTTTATTTACAAAAACTGATGAGGTTTTTCATTTATTGGTCTTGAATTAATCATTTGAGGCTTACTAAAACGTTATATAGCAGATATGTTTCACTAAGGCTATCGTAACGAATAAAATTACAAATTACAAGGAAATATCAATTATAATACCATAATAAATTAGTAACGTCCACCCCCAAGTCCAGTGAGAAAGAAATTCAACTCCCAATAATAATCAAAATCAAGGGATTTATGTGATCATTTTCTAGCCGGCGCCGGTGGTGTAGTGGTAAGCGTGACTGCTTTCTCACCCCAATGGGTCTGGGTTCAATCCCAGCCGAGGTCGGTGGGATTTTTCTGATACATAAAAATCTCTGGTCACGTCTTCCTTCGGAAGGGAAGTAAAGCCGTTGGTCCCGGCCCATGTGTGTTAAATGGGTGCGATATCCTACGCAGGTGTGGAAGCTGCCTTCCTGCACATACGATTGCCATCAATGGTCCGTCGGTGATTGGCACTAGATTGCGGAACAGAGACCGACGTTAAATAAAGGAAAGAAGAAGTGTTCATTTACCACATCCACATTTATTAATTGAGGGCTTTTCATGTCCCATCGATTGCCAAAATAGATTTGGATATTAATTACATTAACAGCATGCACCGGAGATCAATGTCACCTCACCGATTTTAACAAACTTTGCTTAAGTCCTGAATATAAAAAAACGGCGTAGTTACATTAAACACACGCAGAGGAACAAGGCGTATTAGAATCAAATAGGGGAATTTACGTATTCTCGGCAACCTAAGCAGCGACCTTCTTTCTATAGCCTTTTTCTCTATGGAACGCACACATATGCAGTATTGGTTTGTTTACAATCTTTTGCTGCCAACTGCTCTAACAATTTCAGTCGAAAGAATTGTCAAAAACTGTTTTGAAACGCTTTTACAAAGCTCCAATCTTCTCTAGTGAGAGCGAGTATTGTCGGCAACCAGTTTTTCTTCGGCAACCGTTCCATTTGAACTGCATGTAAATCTGCTGTTCTATTATCGGCAACTCGAAATCAGCTACAATTTGTAGTGCGTGTGTTTCATTTCAAGAAAACCTTGCTAGATTGCTTTTTATCAGTGGTAAAAATATAGTCAAATTGAAGCTGAAAGCATAAAGAATCGTTTGCATGCATTCAGCGAAGTGTTTTCGTAAGCAAATCCAGTGAAAATAGTGTTTCAATTTGGGTTGCCGAAAATAGTCTGTCATGCCGAAGCCGTCATTTCCCCTACATTGAATTTTTAATTTAAACTCATGTTTTTTGTTGCATAAAAAAAAATCTTTGGTCTAATGCCAGCAGCGTTCATTCTACAAAGTTGTTATTAGAAACAAAGACCTTGCTTTTTGATTAGAAAAAAAGATCTTTTGGGAATGATCTGATATTTTGTCTATGTGTGGACCGCCATTTTATTACATCACGCAAACAGAAAAAAATGGATTCGTCAGAGTAAGAAGTAATTGAAGAGCTGGAGATAGAAACGCTCGATACAGAAGATTTGTAATTATTAAAATTATTGAAATCATTTGGTTTTAACCAAGAAGTAGTCGGTGCTTTCATAGGTAGGAAAATTCTATTTTAATACATTTTGCCCTTTAAATAATTGTAATTATTTTAGTGAATCGATACACAGTTGAAATCTTGAAAATCATCATTATACAAAGCAAATGAAAAATTGTTATTTAGATACTGAATTTTTTTATGTATAATAAATATTGTTTGACATCCAAGAATGATTTTAATTATTTGATTTCATCTTCAATTAAAAAAAAAACAATTAATATGAAAAATAAAGCAAAATCAGTTTATTCACATCAAATATATTTTTTTTAGAATCAACAAAATATTTTTTTTTTTTATTGGTTATCAAGCTGGAGCTGCGTGACAGCTTAATTTTCAAGACTTGACCCATTTGAATAAATTTTGCTTCTATCTTTGAAAATACAGCAGAAGGACTAGCCTATGTTGGCCGCTTGAACACTGGATTCCGTATGTATTGTTTCAAGATAGTTATAGAAAAAATGCTGTGACGTGTGCGCGTAGATACATCCGCGTAGTAAACCGATTGAATAAGTAAATCCGTTTCGAACGAAATATCTAAATTATGTAAGTTACGAAAACCGCGCGAATTCCGAAAGCCGTGCGAGACAACCGAAGCGAGAAAAAAGGCTTATTATCATTTAAAGAGTGCCACCAGAATAAATGTGATAGCCTATGTTGGCAAGTTGATTAATTTTGGTTTCCTCCCTAAATATTCTACTTATTTTACTGTTGAGCTTTGTTTCAATTTAGTTATTCTACCGCACGTATCAATTATTTCAAGATTTCGCGACCGTGCCGAACAAATTCTATACTACAGAAGCTCAAAAAAACTTTTGGTGAGCTCTACCGCATTACGAATCACTTCTGCGTAAGCTCCGTAGACGTAGGCGCGTTGATTCCGACAGCCGCGAAAAGTTAAACATGTATCAATACCACATAAGGAAAGATCGATTTTACGTATGGTTTAGTTCATAGCTTAACATTGACTGCTGTTTACAAATGTAAGTACTTGAACACTAAGTAATAAGTTAACTCAAATGAGATTTCGCGTATTGAGAGAATTATATAGTAATCGAGTACAACAAACTCAGGGAATACAATACCTCCAAAAGTTTAAAAGCTATTAATTGTCACATACCTCTACTTTTGCTTATTTCCTAAACTATTCCTCTACTTGTTAATCTGCTAAATGCTATTGGTCTGTCTGCGTTTTCTTTTTAAAGTTCAAGACTAAATAAGAAGATTTATTCTACAACTTTAAAGGTTAGTTGCCTTCCTAAGCGGACCCCCCGCATCCTAATTCTTTTGTTAATCTACTTAATGTCATTAGACTTTCTGAAGTTTCTTATTTAAGTTCATTTGATGATTATGATATCTCATTAGTCTAATTAAAAGCTCTAATTCACCTAATCAATCATAACCCATGCTTTATTAAGTACCTGCACTTGTGCTTGTAATCTAAAATTAAACGTGTTTCAAGTACTTTTGATTTTGACCTATACCTATTTATTAGTTCGACCCAGGTAACACCTTCATGTGGCTAAAATGCTTCATTTTGAAGTTAGTTTCCTAGCTGATTTTTAAATTATATAGGGTATATGCTCCAATTACGCTCTCACGTTTCCACTATGTCGCACCACAAAAATACATATGGGTATGTCACAATAGAAGCAAACCACAGTGGAAATCTCGAGCCATAGTTCAAACACTTATCCCAAATCAAAATGAAGCACATATAAGATTAGTTACAATACCATGTACAAAAATGATGTTTAACATTGTTTCCTGAGTAATACTTCAATGAAAACAACAATGAAAGCTTGTCACGCAAATAGAAGGAGCACCGTTGGGCACTTTCTGAAATATTTCAATAGTATAATTCCCTAGCAAACCCAAATAAATCTATCTGCGTAAAAATAAATAAAATAAGAGTGATTTGCGGCAAAACCCGCCAGTATCACACCCAACGTCAGTGCCTATACGTAAGCGTACTACGACGCGGCTCTCAATTAAAGGAGTAACAAGTGTGATACTATCACTGCTAGACTAGATCTTTGGTTCTCTCATGCAGTGGTTTATCAGAGAGGGGAAGCTTAGTAATCCCCATTGCCTGCCCATGACGCCATTCTATCGCGTCTCCAACACTCCACTATAAAGCATGAAATTAAGCCCGCCCACCAACAGCAAGATGCAAAAACTAGCCAAGGGAAGGGAGAATCAACAAAATTTTTTCTTTGAAACAAAAAGTATATATTTTATTTCAAAAAGAAGCGCGTGATTGGAAAAAAATATATTTGTTATGATTCAAGAGACGTCATGACAGAATCAACGAAAAATATTGTTGAATTTACCCAAAGTGACATGGAGATTTGATTCTTATTGCAATTTTTTTAAATCTAAAAAAACAATATTTTTGATTAAAAAAAATCTGCATTGCCCGAGGCTACAATTTTTTTTTTTTGAATTCAATGTGATTTATTTTTGAAATTAAAAGCCAAGTCTCTGCGTGCAATAACCAAATTACACGAAATAAGTATATCAGATTCTACACTTTTATGTCAAGAACAACAACAAAAACTGCACCCTCACCCTAGACGAAATCAAGCACTTAAGGGCAACATTCAAGGAAGTGTTTTCTTCATACATATAATATGCGCTGTTATACGATAAGCCCAGAGAAAACGAGAAAATTTATAATTCGACAAATTTACAACCTAATCAATGCTGTAGTCCAGCATCAAGTGATTTAAGAGTGACCGCTTATTAACATTAAATTTTACGGCAAGAGGGACCTCTTGTCAGATAACATCTTATGGAGTATATATATATCCAGGCTTTTGGTCTTCAACATCTGGTGTAATACTTATACACCTAACTGTTCTGACTTCCTGAAGTGATAAATAAATGTTTGTGTTTCATTATTCAGCTAAATCAATTTCTATTAAACGAAATCAGGGAGTTGTATTTATTCTGACTTTTATGTTGCCTATGTTCCACTGACCTATTAATTGATTTCCATTATCCGCCAGTCGCTGTAATCCAATCTTGTCGAATTGAACTGCAAATCCGTCACTTTTTGCACAGAAAGTTGATTTAAATAACTATCGTCGCTTTCCTCAATCAAGCATAAGCAAATTTTCATAAAAATCGAATTTTCTTTTGAGAAAACGCAATGCACAATGGAACACAAGCAGCAGCTATCACAAATTCTATACACCCATACATAACCAATGGAAGCCAGCTGTCACTAACACACTTGTTTCACTAACTCTTTCACCTTCTATGTATAGATGCTCGAATTTTCTTCCTCTTCTGGCAAACAATAGGCAGTGCCTTGCTTCGTTAGTGCTTTCTCTTTTTCACGCTTCAACATTTCACATCGCCAGCAGCAGCATACTTTGGATTTTTCTCGTTCATGGAAAATTAAAAAATCATGAAATACACATCTCAACACTGCTTTGCATCCCGGAAAACTATCGCAACATGTGAAACGAACTTGTAATTAGACAATACAACACAAACTTCCAGGAGGACAACACTTTTCTGCACTTATGAAGAGGATTTTTCTAGCAGTTTTAATGGATGAAGTTGGAGTAGGAGCACAGCTTGATACGAACGCAATCATCCATTCATTTCACACGCAACACGATTCGACGACGGAGAGAAATGGACTGACTGTCGACTGGTCTGAATGAGTTGAGTGAGATGAGCGACAGCGAGCGAACGGTAGTGTTGACATTTCGTGGTGGGGTGGTGTTGGCGTGTACGTACGCATCATGCCACTAACACGATCATAAAAAGCGTGGTTGAAAATAAACAGCTGACACGGCAAATCGCATGGATTTTGTTTTCGTCTAGCCATTCACGTTAGTGTTGGTGAAATTTTGCGGTGAGAAGTCTGTGTACACCGTGCAATGACGTTTATATAAGGTCTGGGCCAAAGGGCTTATTGGTGTTAGTAAATGTGCAAATGTTTAGTGGTGTTCGTATTTAATTGAAATGTTTATCTTTTTACACGAAACAGCTGTTGGCAGTGACGTATTTCTATCTGTTCTCAGTATGTTGGCAGTGACGTATTTCTATCTGTTCGCAGATGTTCAGCAATGTTTACAACATTTTTGCTTCTAACACCAGCAAGCTGCTTGTTGGCCCAGACCTTATATAAATGTCGTTGTACACCGTGTACACTAAACATTATAGAACCAAGAGAATTTCAAGATAGAGGGCATGCTTATCAGAATTGGAATTGTGTTAGTTATAGGCAATGTTCTTTATATAAGGTCCAAGCAAACAGACTTATTGGTGTTAGTATGTGCAAATGTTTAGATGTCAGGCGTAACATTTGATAACGGCACAAAAGCATTTGTAAACAAACTTTCTAAGGCCCTTTACACGTGAACCAAAGTAGGCCCACGCAAACCAATACCACTTTCGGAAAGGTGATAGTTGCCGCTATCCGATTATGTTGTTGGTTTGCGTGGGCGTACTTTGGTTCGCGTGTAAAGGGCCTTAGAAAGTTTGTTTACAAATTCTTTTGTGCCGTTATCAAATGTTATGCCTGAATGTTTCGTATTTCATTGCAATGTTTATCCTTTTACATGAAACAGCTGTTGGCAGTGACGTAAATCTTACTGTTCGCAGTATCGAATGTTATGGTAGAGTGACGTCGTCACTTGAATGCTCAGCAATATTTACAATATTTTGCTTCTAACACCAGCAAGCTGCCTTTATTGAGTTATAGCATAGAGGTAACTCTAAGACTACTGGGTCCCGAAGAAAATCATTATTATTTTTGGCTCACTCAGTACCAGAACAACGGTCCCAAGCAGTCCCAAGCTATTTCACTCACCCCTGCATGTTCTGCATAATTCCACACACCCCTGATGTTATCTGTCAAACTTTCATAGCGAATCAAAACAAACATAGTGTAGTAATAGAATTTCAACTAGAATAGGGTACGTTAATCGTTTGCTTGGGACCAATAGGCTACTAAAGTGGTGAGCCAATTTAAAATCGTTAGTTTCGTATTGATTGTTGGTTATAGGAGGTTGAGGCAACAATCAATATGAAACTATCGATTATAAAGTGGCTCACTTCTTGACTAGCCTATTGGTCCCAAGCAAACGATTAACGTACCCCATTCCAGTCGAAATTCTAGTACCACACTATGTTTGTTTTGATTCGCTATGAAAGTTTGACAGATAAAATGAGGGGTTATTTGATGTTCCTATGTTTCGAGGGGTGAAACGATTTGCTTGGGACCAAAGAGAGTACCAGAGCTAAGCCAAAAAGTTGAGCACGTTTCTTCGGGACCTTCTGGTCTTAGAGTTACCTCTATGATAGTACCAGAGCTGAGCCAAAAAGTTGAGCACTTTTCTTCGGGACCTGCTAGTTTTATACCCCGTTTACACTACAACCTATATCATGTAATATAGGCTGTCTTGCAACGAGCACCCATAGATAGGATTTCCAGTGAATACTAGATGTATGAGTGCTCATTGCAAGACAGCCTATATTACATGATATAGGTTGTAGCATAGAGGTAACTCTAAGACTAGAAAGTCCCGAAATAACGTGCTCAACTTTTTGGCTCAGCTCTGGTACTCTCTTCGGTCCCAAGCTAATCGATTCACCCCTCGAAACATAGGAAAAACCAATAACCCCTCATTTTATCTGTCAAACTTTCATAGCGAATCAAAACAAACATTGCGTAGTACTAGAATTTCGACTAGAATAGGGTACGTTAATCGTTTGCTTGGGACCAATAGGCTACTAAAGTGGTGAGCCAATTTAAAATCGTTAGTTTCGTATTGATTGTTGGTTGTAGCATAGAGGTAACTCTAATACCCCGTTCACATTACAGCGTATATCACGTGATATACGCTGTCTTGCAATGAGCACTCATACATCTAGTTTTCACTGGAAATCCTATGTATGAGTGCTTATTGCAAGACAGCCTATATTACGTGATATAGGCTGTAATGTGAACGGGGTATAAGACTAGAAGGTCCTGAAATAACGTGCTCAACTTTTTGGCTCAGCTCTGGTACTCTCTTCGGTCCCAAGCTAATCGATTCACCCCTCGAAACATAGGAAAATCCACTAACCCCTCATTTTATCTGTCAAACTTTCATAGCGAATCAAAACAAACATTGCAGAGTACTAGAATTTAGACTAGAATGGGGTACGTTAATCAATTTGCTTGGGACCAATAGGCTAGTCAAGTAGTGAGCCAATTTCAAATCGTTAGTTTCGTATTGATTGTTGGTTGTAGTGTGAACGGGGTATTAGAGTTATCTCTATGGTTGAGGGACGTGCACTCATCGAGTTGACTGCGTGATAATGAAAATATCGTTCAAATATTAATTAATAATTAAAATATTTCAAGCGGTATTGAAATAGTAAACAAAATATTTAAAACAGTATAGACAATAATTAACAAATATTTTGCGATAATTAATGCAATTATTAAGTTGTTTGCACAAAATGGCACGCGGCGTTTGCTTCAGGCGGCAGGTTTACTCAATCCTTATGGGAGATAACATTGCAGCGTTTCACTCGACGCGGCCGTTCCTTTCACAAAATAAAGGCCACGGGGAATTTTGTGAAAATGCGCGTTTGAGAAAAATTGAAATGCCGCGCGGTGTATCAAATTGACGGAATCCTAAAATGATACTATTTTGTGTGGTATACACACTTAGAAAAAATCACCGACTTCGGTAATTCATTTACCGAATTCTCAACAGCTGAACCACAGACAAACAGACATAACACTCGCAAGTTGTTCATCGAACAAGCATTTAACGGTCATTTTAAAAGTATCGTAGTTGGTAGTACCACCACATGTGGCGCGCATAGTCAATTCCCTTGCGTTTGACGTTTGCACACTACCGCCATCTGTTCAGCGTACTACCCACCACAGTGTATTCAACAGATGGCGGTAATGTTTTAGTGACGATGTTTTACAGCGATAAATTTTCAATATGTTATGTCTGTTTGTCTGTGGCTGAACGGTCGGTAATGTTTTCGGTAATCGAGAACATTACCGAAATATCTGTAAACTGGATCAGCAAAATTAGCTGTCAAATTTACCGAACGATCGGTAACGTTTACCGATGTGCATTGCTTGATTTGTAGTCGACTTTACCGGAGAACTGTAATTTTGAGGATCTGTAATTTTTTAAAAAGGTCACTGACTCAACTGTAATTGGCTTTAATATTGTTTCAAGGTGGCGGTCACTGCAACCCATGCAAAAATTTATTTAGATAACGAAAATTAATTTTTTACGGGAAATATGTACGATTCGCTCATCTTGGCGTTGCATAATAGCCTCCATAATTTCACCTTTTTTATTTTTCACCAGCACGAACGCTTTTATTGTCGAACGATAATAACAATATATGGTGGATTTGACGTTTACCTAGACCGTTACCGAACTCAGTAATGGAACGCTTTGTTTACCGAAACTTCAGTAAAATATTTCACCGAAGTCAGTGATGAAGCTGATTTACAGACCTGCCAGTAAAAATGTTTACCGTTTTCGGTAAATTAATATAAAATTACCGAAATTCGGTCATTTCATTTACAGTTTTCAGCAATAAAGCGAGAAAATACCGAAACATCTGTAATTTTTAGCATTACCGATCTAAGACGGTATTTTTTTTTTACCGAACTCAGGGTCTCTGTTTAAGTGTTTATTGAATGTATTTTACAGCTGTGTTCGATAAAATAGCAGCGCATGCCGATGTTCATACAAAATGGTCAATTTTGACATGATGTAACTTTGTTAACTTATGATCAATTGAGCTGAAACGTTCGCCAAAGAACTACAAATATGTTCAATTCTATGATTACAAAATATTAAATTTATGGAAGCACCTGCCGGAAAGTGAGACAGCAGTTAAAAATTTTCTAAATAATAGCAGTTTTTTATTTGAAAATTTACGTGCTGCAAATATTTTAAACATTTTTAACTATTATGTACATTTGTTAATTGGGTGGAGATTGTTAGAATTTTGAGAAATGTAAAATTTAAAATCTGAAAATTAAGCTGATATGAAAATTATTAGTACTGCTATTATTTTGAACAACTTTACCTGATGTCTCACTTTCCGGCAGGTGCTTCACAAAAATTTAATATTTTGTAATAATACACACAAAAATTATGGTTAATTAAATTGAAAAAAAAAACCATTGCTAGAATAAAAAGTTTGCGTTGGTTCTTTTTGCTAGAAAGTCTTTAGCATTCATAACAAAAGTCAGCCAACTGTCAATTCAAAAGTAACTCGTTTTTTTACGTTTAAAAGTTGAAACGAATTGTAGAACTGTCAATATAAAACCCCATGTTTTTTAAATAGACTCACGAAAGGATTTAATTTAAAAGATGGGCATTTTTATGGCAACGATGTATGGTTTCATCTCAAATAAGAATTATTTTTAATTCGATTGCTATATGCTTTGAAAAAAAAAATAACAATAGAAATAGTTAAATTAATATATTTTCGTTTATTTATATTTTTGATGATGACTGAAAGGGCACTGCATTGTGGAATCTTCCATGGGAAGCATTTTACGCAAATGATACAGTTGGTGATGGTGATAGTGGGAGTAGCTTTCCTTTCCGGCAAGACTGACGAGGCTGTAATAATTAGTA